CTTGAAAATCAAACTTATAAGCATATCGTTTTCCATGAACCTTCGCCATGATATTGTTATCATAATAGTAGCGAAGTGCTCTCGACATTTTATCATAATTCATGTTGGGCTTCGATTTCCGCTCTCCCCATTTCCTGGCCACCTCATCTGGATCCACCAATTTGAATTCTCCATTTACTCCCTCCCAAGTGATCACTTCTGAATACCGTTTGTCGGAGAGAAGTTCCAGAAGANNCTNCCNNAGCGCCCGCGTTTTATTGAATAGACAATATAAAGATGCGGATAGAACGACATATGAACGGATGGACAAACGGGACATTTTAAATATTTTCAAAGTCGCATATTTTAGATCGAACTGCTCCTTTAAGGAAAAAGTATCCTTGGTTTTATTCTGGGCTCAACAGCGGAAGTCGAGGCCACATAGACAAAAAGAATCCAGTTGGATCTTCATAGACTCCAATGAGCGCTGGTTGACCGTCTTTCCGTGTCACATCAAAGATTCCTCCCACTAGAGTATAGGCCGGGTCACTGGAAAATAATCTAATAATAAGTACGCTTCATTTTTGCTCAAAATACGAATAAACTTTTAAGTAGTGTTTTCATTTGGGCGGGTGAAAGAGCGGGCTACCCGTTGCCAAGCCGGGGGGCTCCCACGCGATTTTGTGCTCGTGAATTTAAGGATAATCACGTATTTTTCAAGAGAAACTGAGTTTCTGAAATCTAAAAACATCGAAAAAGATAAAAACATTTCCTCACGTAAATACACGCGGATGCCGGCGGGGGACCGCGGCGGTGAGCCCCCCTTCTGGGTGCAGCCGGGTGCCCCCCGCCCCCAAATGGAAATCCTATTTTTAAAAACTCACGGTGTAGGTATTGAGTGTCTTATTTCGTATGGAATATCTTTCATAGCAACTTCAACGCAATCTTCTAGATTCCTGAGATTCATTTCCAAGTATTCCAGATTTTGATAGGACTTCATTTCCATCCAGCTCTTGAAAATCACATTCAGGTCTTCATTAGTCAAAAATGTGTTCCATAATACAATTGTACTTATTTTTAAATTCATCATATAGTCCAACGTGAGCCATGATCCAAATTCGTTGGAGTCTATGAAGATCCAACTGGATTCTTTTTGTCTATGTGGCCTCGACTTCCGCTGTTGAGCCCAGAATAAAACCAAGGATACTTTTTCCTTAAAGGAGCAGTTCGATCTAAAATATGCGACTTTGAAAATATTTAAAATGTCCCGTTTGTCCATCCGTTCATATGTCGTTCTATCCGCATCTTTATATTGTCTATCCAATAAAACG